TCGCAAGTTTGCAAGTTGTGTACCGATAATAGTTTATAATTGTTTTATCTACAATATCTGCGATATTTTTTAAACACATGTACACGTTGTATATACACATAATAACATGCACCACAGTGACCAGGAATGTGATCAAAGATTTTTAGGTTCTAGAAACTATCGGCGTTGAGCCAGAATTCTGGAACATCTTTCCTGAGACTTCGATGCTCGATGGCAGAGACTTTGAAGATCTCAGCTTCAAACAGAGAGTCTGGTTACTGAAAACAGTCTGTGATACAATCATGGTGAGTAATCTCTCGCATATGATCTTAGAAACAAGGCACTATCAAATTCAACCGCCATGATTCTTACAGCATACTAGAAAAACAGTTCAGGAAGACATGATGAACCAATCGTGGCAGGACCAATTTGAAACGGTTTTAGGAATCGATCGCAATGGGACGAGATACATATACTTTCCTCAATTTATGCCAAACGATTTCAGAATTTACAGGCATTCCCTGGACAATAAGATCTTATCGACTGTCAGGGTAATTTACTTATTCTTCCAAGACTTAATTGACATTGCTTCCACAGAAGCTTAACATGTTCGTTGAAAGAAAATAGGAGGAATATTAGACATACTAATTATATGATATAATAGCTGTAGTTATAAGAGTGCTGTAATCATACATCTTTGCCTCCAATAAGTTGATAACAATAGCGCCACAGTTCAGGTCGGGCTTCCTCGAGTTTCTTGCCTTCTTTGCAATCTTTGAGGCCTTTTTTGTGTTTTCGAGTCAGAATTAATTTTTTTCCGAAAATAAATTGTCTGCCTACTGCCCAACCCCCAACCTAGAGGGCCATAGGGAATGTATATGGCAGACATACTCTTGGTTATTATTTCCTCCAAGAAATTGCGCTCGAATTAAAAATCAGCGGTGTTCTTGGTTAGATTTAAACTCAGATCTTTTTGCTCATTTATTTACTAAAGAGTACAGCGATGGACAGAATGGTTGCAACATTTTCTTTAAGTTTAGAAACGCGTATTTAGATTCATGGTTTTGCAATATTCATTCCTCCGCAATAAAATATTCCTCGGAGAAGATTTTGAAACGTAACCCTGAATCTAAATGCACGTTCCTAACTCACTAAAAAAAAAGTGTTGCAACCAATCTGTCCATTACTGTACATCTCTTTTCAATTTTTATTATTCTTACTTATTATCCTTTAAGGTATTGTGTAAATAAATATTAACACATGGAATAGAAAAATGTTCTTCATCCGATATAATATTCCATGTAAAAACATTATATTTTTTCAAAGTATTGTGAAAGCACCCAAAAAGAAAATATGTAGAAAGGAGAGAGTACCAATGTGAGCCACAAAATGAACGGAACTCGGTTCTCACAATATAAAACAAAAATTTCTCTTTCTCACCGTCGTTTTAACACCATTGTCACGGATTCATCCCTCTGTCGACATGAGTTATTTAGTTCTCTGTATGTCTGGGACCATTTAAAGATTCACTGATATTAACGCGGATAGAGAAGTCACATAGTGCTCTGACCCCCTAAGATATGCTTTACTCGGTCTAAACGAGTTTTACTGAGGAAGACCCGAAGAAGGGTCGAAACGTTTATGCTATTAAAGAGAAATTTTGTTTTTATATTGTGAGAACCGAGTCCCGTTCATTTTGTGGCTCACATTGGCACTCTCTCCTTTCTACATATTATACTTTTTTTAAAAAAAAATATTCTAGGAGAAAATTTCTTTCTGTATTTTCAAATCATGATATCTAGTCAGTGGTCAGTAAGTTTTAATGATGTAAGACACGATTAAGAATCCCACACAGCACAGAAAGATTGCAGGAAGATTGCAGAAATGTTACATTGCTAGATTGTAATATTGCAGCAACGTTGCGCAACATTGCTGCAACGTTTCTGGAGGATTACAGCAACGTTGAAATGTCCGCCTTCAGAGATATTGCAGTGCAACATTATAGCAATGTTGCAGTGCAATATCTTTGGAATAATTTGTTGTTGTACATAAGCAGAGAATTTACTAATTACATATGCATCCGGGCCTTTTTCAATACACAGCAAGCTATTGCGAAGCAACCTAAGGAGATTATGTCGCTTCGCAATAGATGAAGATTGCAAGCAACACCGCACTGATCAAGTACTTAATAATTCGCGCATTATTGGTGTCAATGAAAATAACATTAGAAAACTCTCGTAATTAAAAAAACTTTTCAAATAGAAAATATAGTATTTTTATTATTTTTGAAACATTGCTGCAATATTGCTATCGAAAGTTTGCAATTTTATATCCCTGCAATGTCTCTGCAAGATTGCAACGTTTCTACAATGTAACTGCAACCATCTGTGCTGTATGGGATATGATTCTCAAAAATCTTGATATTACAAGTTACAACAAATATTCTCGGAAACTCGGGAGATTTTCAGAAATATACAGCATGAGGAAAAAATACCAGAACCCCGAAATATTTCGAAAAATATAATTTTTAGGAAAAAAAGTTTCAGGCAAAAGTTGTAGGATTTTAAGTAACGCATTACATAGCAATATCAGTATGACCTTGAATAGCGTTGTCAAGATCACGTGAAGATTATCTTAAATGGAACCTCCTATTGTTTATTACACTATCTTATTCTACTAATTAATATGAACAACTTTTGTCCGAAACATTTTTTTATTTGCCTAATACTTTTTGAGATATTCAAGAGAAAATTGATAACTTTTTCAATATTTAACTTATGATATCTCGATAACTGTTTGTCGGAGGGAAAAGTAGTACAGGACTTTTTTTGCTTGATTTGGTCCTCACCCTGTATATTGTGAATTTTGCAGCCTGTTAGGCAAGAGCGAGAATCGGAAAGGAACAAATTTATGAAATACAGAAAAAGAAAGTTGCAAATACGCAATAGCTTATCCGATCGCAGATCGAACAAGCATGAGAACAGAAATGATGATAAAGATCTTAGTAACAACGACAGTACCACAGGCTCGTTTATCAGTGAAGACACGAATTTGAGTAGTACGAGCACATGCAGTAATAACAACAACATAAGCCTGGACGTCATAAACAGGAAGCATCGTAGAAGTTTATCGAAAATGTCCGAGGAAAGTTTACAGTCAAACGCGAGATCCAGCGGCTACGATACCAATACGTCCAGCGATAACAAATTTATCGATGACGAATCATCGCAGATGTTCAAAGGTTTTATCAATACTCCGAATGAAAATTGCAATATAGAGATAATTAATGAAATGTTAGATGACTTGAAGACGGAAATCGACGAAGAGAAGAGAATCAATGGAAGCAGTAGCAGTAGTGAATTAGCGTCGCAAGAAGACTTTGTAGAATATAAAAGTACTGCAGTATTCCGTAGTGAGACAGTAGTTGAAAAAGATGAGAACGAAAGATTGAGCGATAACTTGTCCAATAGTTCAAAGACGGATGATGAGAAACTGAATGAGATAATTAATGCCGAGAGTTTAAAGTTACCTGAAGATGTGTATTCCAAAAGTATTTCTGCTAGTGATAATGTAAGTGATATTTCAACATTAACGTCCAAATCGGATGACGAGAAACTAAATGAAACGAAAGCTAGTAATAGTAGCATTAGCATAAATGAAAACAATTTAAATAAAGTAATTTTTAATAAGTTGTTTGGTACATCTTCCTCTATCAATAATGTATCGTTAGATGAAGAAGTGTCTAGAGAGAATTGCAGTGTCCCAGAAATGCAGTCAGTGATAGAAGCAGAATTGAATGACCCGAGTGAAAAAAATCTGAGAACAGGAATGAAATTGCGATCTCAAAAAGTAGTGAAACAATACGATCAAAAAAATAAAACTGAAGCGACGAAAGTTGAAATAAAAGAGAAGCAGGAATTAAAAGACGTTCAAGTGGATGAGACGGAAGAGGAAAATTTCTCCATAAGCGAAATGAGATTACAAACAAACATGGAATACGATTTGGACGATTATATAAACAATACTGATGTCGATTATAATTTACAAAGATCTAAAAGTCCAAAGACCGACGAGTGTAAGCAACGTTTCAACAAGATGCTGTCCGATCTCAGCGTTTCCGACTTTAACCTTGTAGCCGATAGTGTGGAAGGTTTAAGGGATCTCGTTGCTCTTTTTACAGCAAATAATTCGGAAAGCAAGAATTCTAATAATGTAAGCTTCATACGATTAATGATTTTATGGATAATATTTTGTTGCTTGTTTGTTAAAACTTGTGCTGCATTTACAGGCAGAAATCGTTCCTTTGTGTGAGGTAAAATTAGTAAAGAAAATGACTGAGTTGTTAAACTCTTTAGAACCTGCGGAGACAACGATAAAGGACGCAATGCGGAAAGCAAAGGCAAAACTTCAAAGGGAATGGACTAATTTTAAAGAAGGGTATGTACAGCAGCATATTTTTCATATCTTATATCATGAAATAATTGAACATTATTTCGCAAAATCTCGCACACATCGTCACACATCAAAACAATCACAGAAAAGCATTGTAATTCGAGATATTAGGAAATAGCAACTCATATTATCATTCTGCTTTATTATGGCTTTGATTGGTAATGCGCATAGCGAAGCGATGTCGTGTATCTTCATACCTTCATATTTTCATATCTTTTCATCTTCATTATCTGGAGAATTCAAACTACCTGACGCCTTGAGATTGCTACAATCCATGTGTGATTTACGATGTGGTCGCTGTCCACACTACTTCCAGTAACGTTAATCACTTTGTCGAGCACGTATGGTAGACAAACATGTGATGTGTTGTAGCAGTGTGGAGGATCAGGACTCATCCGGTGAGGGTGGTCTCAGCTCTAATTGGTGGGTTCTTGGATCGCAGGGCAAGGATCCACTCTCAGCCACCCCCGGAGATGCAACGTTACAAACGTTATCGCAGTCTGCCTTATCCCCACTTGGCACCCAAAACGCCCAAAAACAGTCGCGACAAGTCGACGAAAGCGAGCACGAAGGTGCAATTAAAGATCCCGAGCAAAATCACCACGAGAGCCGGGAAGCGAGTGACGAGCGGCGAAACGAAGGTGACAAGAAACAGTCAGATGTCGAGGCAGCGTCAGGAGAAAACCAAGTCGCGGAAGAGAGAGAAAGACACGGGGAAAGTGAGAGCGCATCAAACGACGAAGGTATAGCTTCGTTTTCCGTACGGGTGTCTTATTGATAAACTTCTTTCGTGTTGAAAACGACACGTCCTTCGCAGATGCAAAGCGGGAAACGCAGCACAGTAGACGAGTACTACGAGCGCGCGGTATCTCTTCGTACACAGAACAGCTTTACTCAGACGACGAGAGCGACGAGAACGAGCTGGAGGAATGGACCGACGTTGAGGCAGTGTACGCGGCTCCCAGCACACAGACCAATACACCCGCTTCTCACGTTGATACGAAAGACCGAAACTCTAGCAACTGGTCGGAAGAGGAGGACTCAGACCAGGATTGGATTCTACCGAGCTCTCGCAAAAGGAAAAATAAACGTTCGTGTGAGTCTCCAAGAAAAGCTGTACATCGTATCTTTTCTCTATTGTTGCTAGATTTTTTGTGGAATTAAAAATTTACCTTCCGTGATAAATTATTGTTAATAGCAGTCAATTTTAATACAAGAGAAAAAAGTATCAGTAAAAAAAACCGACAGTGCTATGAGGTCAATAAATCTTGTATCGTTTAATATTTTTATAAGTTTAACGTTTCCCTTGTTTTAGCTACCAATCGAAGGTTAAAGTCA